CCTAAGTTTTCCCTCATTAAAAAAGAAAAATTATACTCACTAAGGCTTGGTATTTAATAAAAGACTCCCTATGTTGGTTGCTACAGTAGCCTTCAAAATGTTTCTACAAAATACTCAAAACTGATCTGCAGCACACGGAATTTACAAAAAAGATAAACCACATATGCAGTACGCTAAGTTCAGTACACTAGTACGCTGGTACCACAGGTTCATAAATATGAAAACATAGACCAGTAGGAAACACAGTATATTAACGACCATCTCTGCATAGTAGGACAGCTCGTCATTAAGTTCATTTCAAAACTTTCCTGAATTTCCTACAATGGCTAGGGACTGCTACTTTTATAACCAAAAAAATTTCTAACCAATGATTCAGGCTCAAGAATATGAAGAGATGGTTAAGTGTTGCTCACAGCAAGAAAATGAGAATTAAAAAACACATCAAAATATCACTTTTCACCTGTCAGATAGGCTCTCTAAGGAGGGCTGTTTAGCTGTATATACCACAATTACAACTTATCTTCAGACCCAGCAATTTCCACCTCCTACATACTTGCCCATGCAAAAGAACCATTAGGGCCAGGCTAGACGCCTATAAACGTAAGTATAGTAAATAACAACCCATCCATGTTTGAAAAATATCCTAGATATATTATTGAGACATTAATGACAGGGTCAAGTTCCACAGTGGGGTGGGGGTGAATGGATGAATGAAAGTCATGGGTACAGACTCTATGCTTTCCAGCACATCATGTTTAAAAAAAAAAATACATAATATTCAAATGGTTCAAAGAGTTATAATAAAAAACAAACAACAAAAACAAAACCACCCAATGGTTCAGATTTCTCCCAAGCACTGGAAAACAAATTTTGTTTGCTATAGTAAACATCAGTACCATCCCAGAGCAAAATGGGTAGGAAAGCATCACTTTGCAATATCTAAGGTAATAAAATTGGGAAAAAATGGTACTGCTATTTTCATCCACAGACCGAGGGATGACAGGGACTTCCTATTGGATTTCCACTCTGAAAGTCACTAAAAATTGCTAAACATCAAAGCAATTATTCTTCAAGATGTTCTACCAGACAATCGGAATGACCAGCAGCATCAAACAAGCAGCATTTAGTAAACATTATGTGCCATGACATACAATAACTCACCTGTGTTGTTTTACCAGACCCAGTCTCACCAACCAGTACGAAGGATTGATGTCTAACCAGAATATCTGTAAATCTATCCTTATATTCCCAAACAGGGAGCTGAAGCCGTTTCTTTAGAATATCATAGTATCGAGGAGTATGGGGTAAGTTGGTAAATGGATTAATGCACTGTGGAAGTGACGTGTGCCCTGCATGCCCTGTGTGTGTTGAATGAGCAGAATGTGTTGAATGTGCCGAATGGGTTGAGTGAGCTGAATGGGAAGCTTTTAAAGGTGGTAATCCAGCACTGATAAGCATAGCATTAGTAGAAGCTCGCAATTCCTTCTCCTTTTCTTTTTCCCTCTCCCGCTCTCTATCTCCTCTATCACGTTCTCGGTCTCGATCTTTAGACCGATCTTCACGATCCCGGTCACGATCTCGATCCTTCCTAAAAATAAAAATATAGAATTCAGATCCTAAATTTTATACAAAATTCCCATGGTAGCATTATATTTTTTAAAAAGACTACAAATATCTAACGACCAAATGAATACACAGATAAAACTCAATTGTTTATGTAACTATCAAAAATAATAATAATAAAAAAAAGAACTTCTATCAAGGAGCCCCCGCACTCCACCCTAAACCTCTTTCCCTTCCTTGACAATGCTCGAACTCTTTTCCACAACCTTTAACATAAGATGAGACAATAAAAGAACTCAGCATCTTGCAAGTAAAACTCCTATGTAGACAAGAGAAGTCAGACACTAGAGATTAAGCATAAAGTGGGGAAAAGGGCCTAATCAGGCAACAGACAACATTACAATCTTTACCAGATTCTCCTTCATGTTATGTGAAAAGCTATTTTTGCACTGAAAGAATATTCAAGATACGGTAAGAACACTGCTAACGGACAAAAAACAGTGTTACAGTAATGAAGAATAGTTTTGCTTGACCCTTTTAATTCATTTCAAATAAATACTCTTTCCTTGCCTCAAGAAAATGTTCTATGCTGTAAGTGAAGAGAGCATAGTACAACGTTATACATAATCAGTATCTCAAAAGTATAATCCATACAAGTATGGATTATAGTTGAATTTATTTTCTTAGAGATAATCTCCAGCACTTTCCCTATTTGGTTTAATGAGCATATATTGCTTTATAAAAAAAATTTTTTGAAATTTTATTCCTTTTTCATTGTTTACTCTTACATCTTAGCTATAATAGCAATAATAAAACATTGGAAAAACTCTATAAACCTATATACCTTGATCAACCATAAAATGAAATCTAGACAAAGCAAGCTTCACTGAATATATTTAACTGTGTATAATGTGTAACTTTTGGCCCACATTTCTAAGGAAAAAATAACAGTGCATATCAGACATGCGGAGTGTGCCTAAGGATCCCAGCAGGCCTCCCGGGGGTTCCAGTCCAGGAAGATCCAGAATCTCATGGGAAAGGGCTGCAGCCACCTCAGTGTCACAATCAGGGGAGAAGTGGGAGAGACTGATGAGGTGAGCCACAGCCATGCAGAAGTCCCAAGGCCCCACAGACAGGACCCCTGTGCAGGCCCCAGTGACCCACCTGACTGCCTGCTGGGCAAGCAACCTCATAAGCTGCCACCTAGAAGACCTTGCACATGGCCATCTTAGCAGGGAAGGAAGGGCTCCGGGAAAATAGAGCACTCAGCTGTGGGAAGGTGGTGCTATATGCATTTACCAGGGGAGTGTCAGCCCTCCCCAGATGTGTCAATGTGTCTCTCCTGGCCAAAAGGCAGACACTTTCTCGGGGGCATTTTCCTGAAAGTTTAAGCCAAAAGTGTGGGTGTGCATTATATACAGGAACATATTATACACAGCAAAATATACTATTAAGTCATTTAAAATGTTAAAATTATATAGGTAGCCACCATATTAAATACCCAACTTGGGTTATCTACTTCTAGTTACTAGAGATGCCCATCCCCCACGATGGCAATTTTAAAATAATCTATACTGGGATCCCCATAAGCAGAATGACTGCAGGTTGCTCTTGTTTATGTGTTCAGCTGAAGGCTGCCTATGAGGTGGGCTGATGCGGGGCATAAAGTTAAATCATCTCTGCTTATTCATTCTACTGATCCAGGTTACTTCAGATCAAGTCATATAGCAGGCAAACTTGCCACAAGGTGTATAGACCCAGTCAATAATGAAGTTATCTTCATTATTCCTAATCTATAGTTATAACAAAAATAGTATGGTCATTTGAAATGTTAAAATTATGTAGGTAGTCATCATCTTAAACTTAAGTCAAATTTTCTATGTTCCCAGTACAGTCATGTACCTGTAACATTTTGGTCAACTGACTGCATGGATGGGGTTGGTCCCATAATACTGGAGTATTTTTACTTTACCTTTTCTTTGTTTAGCTACACATACTTGCCACTATGGTACAAGTTCCTACTGTATTTATTCAGTACAGTAACATGCTGTACAGGTTTGTAGCCTAGTAGCAAACAGGCTATCCTACCCTGGTTGATGTAAGTACACTCTATAGTGTTCAAATGATCAATTTGCCTAAGGACATGTTTCTCAGAACTTGTCCCCAACACTAAGCAAAGCATGATTATATCAGTAACACAGCAGGAACAAGCATTCATTCTCTAGGATGGTTCCCCCAATTACACAAATGGTAAGCTAACCAATTATAACTGATTTTGTTCCTCTTAAAACATACCTATATATTTCTATTTTATCTATAAAGTGTGGTTTTTAAATGATTTGTGGATTATAAAAAGTATTAAATAAGTTAACATGTAGTATGCCTGAACACTGCCTGGTACATTGAAAATGCCCAATAAATATAAGTTATCACTGAAGATTTTAAGTTACAGTACTATGTTAAAATCCTACATGAAGAATAACTGGCACTGAAGTACGGCTAATTAAAATGTAAACTAGCCATCAAAATAGGAATATTTTAAATAAGCAACTGCTTTTTAATCCAGCTATCTTCTTTCTTTTTTTTTTTTGGCCAGGGCTGGGTTTGAACCCGCCACCTCTGGCATATGGGGCCAGGGCCCTATTCCTTTGAGCCACAGGTGCCGCCCCCAGCAATCTTATTTCCAGGAACAACTTCTAAAGATATGTGTTCACAAATATTTATCTGTCAAGATGTCCATATTTTTCATTTACAAAACAACTGGGAAACTACATAAACAACACACAGGAGAGTGATTAACAATTTATGATGCACCTTTACAAACTGAAAACTATGTAGTCAATGAAAAGGACAAGTATACCAATAGTCAATGACATTTCTAAGTGAAAAAAAGCACAAAATGGCACACACTGAAAAATTCCACTGATACTTAATACTATAGCTCGTATTTGTGAGCAAATATGCAGTGATCTGAATAAAATGTTCACCAAAAAGGGTGGTGCCTGTGGCTCAAAGAAGTAGGGCACCAGCCCCATATACCAGAGGTGGCAGGTTCAAACTTGGCCCTGACCAAAAACTGCAAAAATAAATAAATAAATAAATAAAAATAAACTCTTCACCAAAAAATGTTCTTCCAAGATGGAGACAATTTTGGGAAATGTATTGCCTTTTTCTTTATACTTTTGTGTACCAACATTTCTTGTGTTCCCTGGGAAAGTTATTTAACCTCACCTACTACATAGGATCAGAGTAAAAATGTGTTTATTACATATAAAACACCTAGAAGGTGTCAAGTGTATAGCATGTACTCTACATGTTATCACAGCACTAATATATTAGTTTCATTTTTCTGTAATTAAAAGGAAAATTAAGAATAACAAAAACCAACATAAAAAGAAAAACATCCCTGATTTCAAAAAGTTTTTCCATACGTCAACAGTAAGTTGTTTAGTGGGATAATATGATGAAAATTTTGTGGGTTGATGAGAGAAAAGAATGAAGTCAGAATACGTAACAGAAATCTACTACTTCACCTGACTTAAAAGTTAAAATATGCCAATAGTAAATAAAGCCTTATATAGTTTCGAGCATAAATCTAAGTTAAACAGCCCATTGAATTACTCTGCCTTCTCCTTATTGGAGAAATGGACAGTTCTGTTTAGCAGTGGCATTCGAGACAGGCCCATGTTCTCAGATAAAACCACCTACTAGGGATTTAATAAAAACCCCTGGGTGCTAATAAACACTGCAAGCCAACTGCTAAATAAAACCATTTCCAATAGAAATGGCACTCAAATGATAAAGGAATCAGTATTAAAACCTCCCTAGAATTTCTCAGAACTCAGGCATTATTCCAAAGATGATCTCTCCTTTATCTACATGCAAATGTCAATATACAAAGGTTACCACCATAGACCCAAAAAGTACACATTCTTACTAAGGGATCTGTTTTTAGAAGGGAAAGGAGACAACCACATACACATTTCATGGGACTACTAATGTCAAGGAAAGCATTTTAAATGGTGCACACATGCACATATACTCATTCCCTCCCCATATACTTTGTTCCAATCTGTGTGACATCAAGTGCATCTTAGCCAGATGACAACCAATTTATTTTTGCAGCAGCGCAATCAAGAACCAAGTGTTCCTTACTTTACCAGCCCAGTATAAATGTCATTAAAATACACTGTAATGACTCTTAAGTACATTATTAGGCTAAGTGCTAAACAGTGAAAATGGAAAAAGCAGGGTTCTAGATCCTGCTGCAAACTGTAAATTTGTACAAGTCACCTAATCTCTGGTCTCCATTTCCCATTCCTTGAGAAGAGCTGATTATACTCTTACACTGCATCCAGCTCTAAAGGTTTGTGACACAGAACTCAAATGCACTCCTATTTGCGGGTTATAGAGGATGGAAGGGCAGCCTAAGGAGCGCATTGCAGTGCCCTTGTATTATTACAATCCCTAATGTTTTAACCTAAAGAAATCTACAAACTTAAAATGTGACCTACTTCTGCTTTCTATTCAATAATTCAATATATGGGAAGACGTCGAAGAGTACATCTACCCTGGCTTACACTCCACACTGAAACTCAACAGATTCCTGGAAATCAATTCCAATGACGAACTTTTGGTGAGCAAAAATTCACAGAAGTTACGTACACACAATAAAATCAAAGTATGCAAAAGTATTTGGATATTAAGACTTGTATGTTGTTTGCCTGAATTATTCAAATAGATTTCTGTACTGCAGAAGTAACAACATGCACTAGACCTGAAATGATTTTTATGCAATCGCTGGTAAATGCCTCTGTATCTTTAAGCATAGGCTAAGTCAAAGGAATCCGGAACATTATGTGTCGATGTATTTCAACTCTCAACGGGGCGATCTATTTTCCAAAAATATTAAGATACTTTGGAGAAGGATCTAAATGAGAGAGTAGAAAATAACTTACTGGGAAAAAAAAGAATGCGTTCTAATCTCTACCCGAGAGATGGTCAGTAACAGCTACTTTCACCAAGGCAGGAAATAAAGGAGATGGCGGGAGCGTAGGTAGAGGGCGGAAGTTTGACTAGTATCTACTTTGAAGTGTTTGAATGGACCGAGGCACGCTCTCTCCCGCCAAACTATAAACCGAGCCGCTCCAAACCGCCAGCCTTCCAGCCCATCGGGTATAACACTCCACACGTTTTCCTTTCTCTCGGCAAAGCTCTCCACTCTCCCTTCCCCCGAGAACTAGCCTTTTGCTCGCTTCACTCAACTCCCGCCACCCCCACTCCGGCCTACACAAGAATCCACACGCTTCTCACTTTCCACCCTCGGCCTTCCCCCTTCCGGAGCGCCCAGCCGCGCCCCCCACACGCACACCCACTGCCCTCTGCCCGGCCCCCTCCAGCCCGAGAAGCATCTGGTGCCCTTGGAAGCGAATCCTCCCGCCGCGCCCTCCCCCACTCTTGCCCCAGGCTCCAGGCCTTACTCGGAAACAGAGACCACGAGGTCCGCGGTTCGCTCCCGCCCGACCCCATCGAAAGTGACCCTCGCTCGGCTTGGCCTAGAAAAGGCGGCGCGCTCGCGTCCGCGACAGGCCTCTGCACTCTCCCAACTGGGCCGGGCGGCGACCCCGGCACACACGAACCCCCGCACCCTTGCCGGGCCGGACGGACGCCGCTCTTTCCCGACCAGCCGCTGATGAACCCGGCCCAGGAGAAAACAAAGGCTCGGGCTCCGGGACCCGCTCGGCCAGGCCAGGCCTAGCCCGCTCCCCGCCCGGACCCCAACAAAGCCCGAGCCGCTGCCGCGCGCCGCCGGCCTCGCTTACCCATCGGTCCCCGCACGCTTCTTGCCGGAGGGGTAATCCTCGCCCAGGTCCAGCCGGTGGCGCTTGGACATCTTCGCACTCTTGGAGCGGGCGGTTGTGAAGGAAGAAAAACAAGAAGCTGGCTACTGTATGGGCACAGTAGAAGACAGCTACTTAACTCCGGAGGACCCCCACCCCGCCCGCTACAACAGCCCACACCGTGCGGCCCGAACCAGGAGCTAAAATGGCGGCGGCGGCGAGGGCTGGGCCTACGCGCGCGCTTCCGTAGCGTGCGTGCGTACGTACGTGCGTGTGTGGTGCGCGCGCACGCTGCCCAGAGGCGGGAACTCCAATCCCGCCCGCGGCGTCATTGGTCCGATCTCTTCCGGCCCGCCCTCTTTCCAGCCTCCTCTTCTTCCTGGAGATTTCCGCCCCTTTGAGCGGCTGCCTGGGAGCCTGAGTATTGTGGCCTACTTCAGTCTTTCTTTACCCTCGTGTTTTAGGAAATGGGGAAAGTCTAGTCGTACTTAAGAAACCCTATCCATCTGTAGTACTCTAGCTTTTATAAGTCCAGATCTAGAACTTGGAACCACTGCGCCCAACGCTCAACTGCATTGAGAAAACTGAAATGAGAAAATGTTAGGACTTGGCATGCTCTATTTTGCCCTTTTTTCCCCTAGCGCGGATAATATGCACTCAAGCCATAAATGTTTTTACTGGAAACAGAAAATTGACAGTGAATGCACAGTTTGTTTTGCTTTGCGTGACTACCAGACACTTTTACAGTATTAACCCTAGCTCTGTTTTCATTCTTAGGGTAACCAGCAAGGTAGATGTGTTATAGATGGGGACACTAAGGCTGAGGAAAGTGAAGAAATCACACAGCCATAAGGGCTGTACCTTATGGTTTGTAAAGCCAGAGCAAATTGATTGTGCTGGATGACCCTTACGACTTTTTTTTTTTTTTTGAGACAAAGCCTCAAGTTGTTGCCCTGGGTAGAGCGCTGTAGCATCACAGCTCACAGCAACCTCCAACTCTTGGGCTAAAGTGATTCTCCTGCTTCTGCCTCCCAAGTAGCTGGGACTACAGGCAACCGCCACAACGCCCGGCTATTTTTTGGTTGCAGCCGTCACTGTTGTTTGGCCCAAACAACAGCCAAACCCGCCAGCTCAGGTGTATGTGGATGGCGCCTTAACCGCTTGAGTCACAGGTGCCAAGCCAACCCTTACGACTTTCATGGATCTCTTCTGTTAGAACCTATCTGTTTTCTCAGTTGCATTCATTCCAGAAGAAATGCCCAAGAAAAGATTTGTGGACCAACTCAAGCAGGGTGAACTCTGACCTTCATGTAATTGGTCTGTTTGGCTACCCTGGAAGACCATACTCTGGCTGATATCAAATTCTAAGAACTGCAATGGTTTTAATTAAATACAATTCAAAGAATGAAACTCATAAGCCAGCAGGGTGGCTCACTACTGTAATCCTAGCACTCTGGGAGGCCGAGACAGGTATATTGCTTGAGCTCAGAAGTTTAAGACCGTGAGCAAGAGCCAGACCCATCTGTACTATCAATAGAAAAACTACTGGTGAGGTGGTGGGCGCCTGGAGTCTTAGCTTCTGGGGAGGCGGAGGCAGGAGGGTCACTTGAGCCCCAGGAGTTTTCAGGTTGCTGTGAGCTATGATGCCACAGCACTCTAGGCTGCTGCAATAGAGTGAGACTGTCTCAAAGAAAATTTAAAAAGACTGCAACTGATAAAGAGGGGTTTTATTTCTGTACCAAACCCACATTCCAAAGACAACACAAGGAAACATGAATGTCCTTTGCCCCTATAAAATATTTTGTACAACTCTCTACCCTAAATGTACAGTAGTCCCATATTTATCTTTATTTTCACTTTCTGTGATTTCAGGTACCCATGGTACTATGCAATAAGATACTTTGAGAGCAAGAGAGAGACCACATTCACATAACTATTAAAGTATAGATGCCCCTCTATTTATGATGGGGTATGTACTGATAAACCCTTTGTAAATTGAAAATATCATAAATTGAGAATGCATTTAATAAATTGATAAACCTAGGTATGTCTGTATTCCAATAGTAGGAAAAAAATCACAGTACATTTGGGCCTCCATATTTCTGGATGCCTTATCCATGGATTCGACCAACTGCAGATAGAAAATATTACCCCCAAAATGTATGGCTGCACCCATACTGAACATATACAAACTTTTTAGGGATTCTTATTTGCTAATCAATGCAGTATAATAACTATTTACATAGCATATACATTGTATTAAGTATTATATGTAATCTAGAGATGATTTAAAGTATACAAGAAAATGTACAAAGGTTACTGGCAAATTCTGTACCATTTTATGTCAGGAATGTGAACATTCATGAATTTTAGTATCCGCAACTGTATTAGCTTTTGTTAGATCATGATGTATAATCACTGACTTACAAACCTGGAAAGGCTTTCCAGCTGATTATCTCTTTTTGCTTCATTTTACAAATGAAGGAACCTGGCTCGGCGCCTGTGGCTCAAGCAGCTAAGGCGCCAGCCACATACACCTAAGGGGGCAGGTTCGAATCCCCAGCCCGGGCCGCCAAACAACAATGATGGCTGCAACCAAAAAATGGCCAGGCACTGTGGAGGGCTCCTATAGTCCCAGCTACTTGGGAGGCTGAGGCAGGAGACTCACTTGAGCCCAGGAGTTGGAGGTTGCTTTGAGCGTGATGCCATGGCACTCTACCCAGGGGGATAGCTTGAGGCTCTGTCTCAAAAAAAAACCAAAAAACAAATGAAGGAATCTGAACCCCTTGATTTTGCCCAAGTTAACTCAGCCAGTTAGTGTCAAAGTCAAGATTTCACTTTAGCTATTATAATCTCAGTCTTCAGGTTTCCAATCTGAGGGCTAATATCAAACTCTCTAAAATTTTGGAGACACTATCAGGACAAAAAGTTAGAATTCAACTTGCAGAAATGCCACACTCCAATCTATTATTTGGTCTATGACATGAACTTACTCACCTGGAAGAAATGTCTTATACAGCTAACCAGCTCCAGGTCTCAAGCCACAGGTGTCT